GATTTTCAATATACGGTTGACTACATCTTGCTGTTTCTGTTTGGGTTGTAAGTGGGTTAGGTAGGGACCCATCCATGTGTTTTCCTATTTGCTGTGGAGAGGACTGTGTTCGCTGGTGTAGCTAATACCTCTTGAATAAGTGATTGCTGTTCCGCATGTTCCACAAGAGCTGTGAAAGCTCTTCTGTAAGACCTACAGCTGTGGGTGATCAATGCCTGGGAAACTTGAACAATCTCATACAGTCTTCCTTAATCTTACAGGCCTTATTTACTAGGATTAGCCAGTTTTCCTCATGTCATTACAGTAGATGACTATAAATAGTAAGGTTGACCTTTTCCAGCAATGACAGCAAATTTTTTCCACTGAAATCTGCTATATCTTACAATAAGATTTGCTTGTAGACATCGTTTCAATTTTATATGGTATTAGGGCAGGTAACTTCCCCAAAAAAAGCAAATATTTGAAGAGGACATTTTTTAATGTCCTTTTAACAGGAATTAACTGTCAGAACAAGCAGTAAAGAGCTCCTCTTGAACAGATTTTTCAAATGCCCTTCTATGGGCTTGAATGTATTCGCCATAAATTGACTGTCTTAGCCAGAAAGGAATTAATGTAACTGCTTTCAAACATTGTATATACATTTATGGAATGGTTTAGATATCACATCTGGCAAAGTATAAAAAAGGCATTTCCTTTATTGTTGGGCTGTGATTTGATCCTTCTAACATTTAGCTAGCTGTGATTTCGGTAAATCTTTCAAAAAGATTGAAGTTGAAAGAGTACAGAGGAGTGGACATAAAAAACACCTAACAGAGATTTGGATTTACTTGGCCAACTGAAAGAAGTGAACTTGGAGAGAATAACTTCTCACTCAAAGATGAAGCAAGCCACCTGATTGAAGGGTTTGACGGCTGATAAGGCTACTCATTTGGTTGTAACTCTGATTGTTTGAATCTCATATGTGGTCTGTTAAGTAACTTTTCTGCCTTGACAGGTTGTAGTCCTGTTTGTTAAATCTGAAAAGGTTAGACTTAGATTATGCTTCTACAGGATGCATGACTGGAGAGAATCAGGAAAATACTTCCTATTTAAATTTGTTTTTTCCTCTGCCTTAGGGAGAGTTTGACAAAATACCAAACAATACCAAATGCCCATTTTCATTTCCAGATGATGGTAATTTCCAATGGAGTGTACTCCACATGCTGTTTTTCAAATTGAAATCAGCAACAATACCTGTGATGCAAACTTGCCTAAACGTATTCTGTGGCCCTGATACTTTCCATCTCTGTGATTCAGTGTTTTAACTTTTAGAGTAAATCATGCTTTAAAATAGGGTGTAGTTATTCTAGTTGTGAAATGGAAGCTGAGTTTCATGATTTTGCCGCCATCAGGAACCTGTGCTTCAACCTTATTTTCTTCATAAAACTCTTTATGAAGGACTTTGCAGTTCTACTTCCTTCCTCGAGTATTGTCTTAGTGGACTATTAGACAGTTATTCTTGCTGTCTTGAAAAGTCTATACAAATGTTGGTTGTTATGTTGAACATAACAGTGCTGGGCTCAAATCTCAGGTTTCCCTCTGACCATTTCCTTTCTCCATTGGTAAGTCTGTAAAATTTCAGAAATTCTAACAGCTTGCACAATTCTGGAGCCTTAAAGTGTTAGACAAGTTACATGAACCAATGAACAAGTAAGTTTTCTAATATTTAGCGTTTGGTTAAAGCTAAAGTGATTTTAGATTGACTTATTTTTTGGCCTGAAGTTCTTATATTTAAGATTGTACTTCATGCAGAAATATACTGCACTTGATAGGATATATTTTGCATTTAACTTTGTATGCAATGAATCTCGCACTTACACAGCCCAAAGTCAAAGTAGTATGTGCCCTGTTTAAGTAATGAGCTATTGATTTTGAAATTACTCATTTTATTACAATAATATGGAACTAGTTATATTCTGAAAACTCATCTCTGAAATGGATGCTGCTTATTTTCAGTTTGAGACAGGACAGAAATGGACTGTAGGATATTACCTGTTGAAATTTGCCATATCTCAGACAGCAGGGACTGTTCAGCCTCATGTAAAGCCATACATTGTATTCAAAGTGTCTCTGAAGAAATGCCTCTTCCTCTTGCTTGAACTCAGACCTCTGAACAGGCTTGTAATGTAATGTCACCTTTATTTGTCACTGGTAGCTATACCCACAATGCATTCTGTTGCTACATATTTACAACACCTTCAGGATCAAAGAAAGCTGACAAGAAGGTTCATTGTGAGAAATTTTGACCTACTTTTATGTTTGGCACTGCTTTGCCTGCCAAGACCAGGTAGACTGAGAAGAGACCTTCAGCATGTCTTCACTGAAGAGGTCCAGGCTGACATTGAGATAAGGGAACTCTGTCATGGCAAAGCAAAAAAAAAAAAAAAAAAAAAAGCAATGTTGCAAACAGTCAGAGGTTAAACTTTTTTTTTCTTTCCTTCTGCCCCCTTCTCTTGGGGATGCAAAGTGAGTTTGCTGGGAGAAGGGGTGTGGAGGATGCAAGTTGAGTTTATTTGTGAATGCATGTTTGAATCCATCCTTTTCTTGCTGCTGGTTCTTAGCTCTGCAGCACTGGGGTGTGCGTAGAGAATCAATTTGCTTTCTGTGATTGCTTTAAAGAGCTTTAAACTGCTCATGCTAGAAGATTGTTGCAGGTTCCCTTCTCCTGGAATGTAAAGGAGAAGAAATGGCTATGCATTTGATTTTTTCAAACCTACATTTTAACTTTACAGGCTGTGATGGCATTTTCCTTATGTGGTACATGACTGAAACAGTATATTAGTAAGCTATATTTCTTGAGTGATAGAGATCAGTTTGTACATTTTGTTACCAAAAATTCATGTGGCAATTGTCTTTCCCTTCCCTTTCCCCTTCCCCTTGCATGTAAGACACAATACTTCGTAGAATTTTGGCATTTTAGTATTCCCACTTTCAATGTCTAAATTGAAGTATAAAGCTGGGTAGTTCATTCAATAAAAGTGCTGTACATGAAATGAAAATTATAAGTGATTTTTGTTCTTTTAAATCATAGACCTCTACGTTAGGATGAAGAGAGCATAACTTGAAAATGCCTGTTCGTTTCATGAGCTGACTGTGAAAGGACCCTAGATGCGGGTTTTTTTTAGGTGTAGATGCCTGCCGTTGATCAAGTGAATTGATCCCGAGTTTTCTGAGCACTGCTTTTGGAACTTCAGCCTTTAGATTTTTGAGGAATGATTTTATGAATTTGTTTACTTTTGTCAACAGAAATTAAAGAATCAGAGCAAGGTTTGATAAGGTACCTAGCTAATGGCTTCTGAATTCTTTATTTTAATGAATTGAGATGTAAGTGGGATTTGAGTAAGGGAGAGGACGAGTTTCCTTTGAACCAAACACTTTCTATGATTAGGTTCTCAAAAGTAGCCTTCTAACTTCAACTAAGCTATTGATTGTTTACAAGGAAAGTTGAAGGAAACGGCTTTATTAATTTGACCATCTACTAAGAAAGAGGCTGGAGACAGCTTTATTGTTGACTTTTCAGTGGATAAGTATGGAGCCCCACCTTGAAAATGTGAGTGGTGAAATGAAGAAAATAAGGCAGCAGACTTGTAGGTTTGGTCGGTTTCATTTTTGGTTGGTAACATTAGGACATTGATGGAAAGCTTCAGTGTGGGCTCAGAGGTTGCATATTCCATCCCACTTTGATATCCCCAAAGAGGAATGTGTCTGGCTTTCTTGAGAAATAGATATTTTCTTATTATATCCTTTCCCTAGCAGGGGTATCAATTTTAAGAAAAGGTAATGTCTGAATTATACAGTAAACAATAGTAAGTTGAGAGACAGTATTCAAAAGCTGTTAATACTTATGGAGATCATCTGTTGCTCAGAAAGTCACTGTTGTGGCAGTTTTAATTCATGTGTTATTCCATTCAGCGGTGTTTAAGTACTTTGTGGTGTGGAAGACACAATTACATCATCACTTTAGCAGTAACATGAAGTCGCATGCCTCAGTTAGAGTTGGAAAGCCACCAAAAGGATAGTCTCTGTGATACATGAAAGATCTGGGGTTTGGAGACTGTCCATTGGTGTCCAGATATCATCATCCTTGTCTTTGTTCAGAGCTTTAAATAAAAAGGTCACATCAATTTTTCTTTCATTAGTTTCCTCCTCCCCTTCTGGATGATTAATGGCACTGAAGCAGATCTGGTCTCTTATCGAATTGAATGATTTAGTGACTCAATTCTGTACAAGACCAGTTGTAACAATAGTTGGATAGTGAAAAATAAAGAAAAGAGAAAAGAAAAGAGAAAAGAAAAGAAAAGAGAAAAGAAAAGAAAAGAGAAAAAAGAAAAGAAAAGAAAAGAAAAGAAAAGAAAAGAAAAGAAAAGAAAAGAAAAGAAAAGAAAAGAAAAGAAAAGAAAAGAAAAGAAAAGAGAAAAGAAAAAAGACTTAACTCGATCATACTTCTTCCTATCCTAAATAGTTTTGTAGGGATTTTAAAGTTGACCTAGCAGCACGGCTTGCAGTGCTTACGAGTCTTGAATACTTAACCCCTGACACTGTCTTTATTCAGAAGAATGTCTTGCAACTCATGCTGTGTAATGGCTTTATACTTAAAACAGCGTTCAAAATCCTTATTTAATCATTTTTCACTTTGAGCTTGTTTTTAGTAACCTAATGTTTAGTGAAAGACACTAAACAAGTTAAGGCTTTTAAAGATCGTTCCCTGTATATAAAGGGTCCCATTTTAATGTGGATTTTATGCATTTTCTTCATCCACCGTCTACTTTTTTCTTAGCCAATGACAGTAAGATTCCTAAGGCTACTTTCTCTTTAAGGACATACTGCTTACATAAATAGTCCTCTACACTGTCTCCTTGTTTTATAATATTAATTGTTTATCAGAAGATGGGCAATATTCCGTAGAAACGTGTTTTCCCGATTGTGCATGCCTTGTTACTATTTCAATTATGCAGATTCTCGATGCTGTGGAAATTTGTGCTTGATGACGCCAAGGCAGCTGCACGTTGTTAGCATTGTAGGCTGTCAGATGATCATGTGGGATTCTTGCAGCATGCAACATTCAATAGGATTGAAAAAGGGCTTTTGATGCAAGGCATAGCTTTCAGAATATATTTGTGCCTTTTAGTTAGCTAATATAAAATCATAATTTATTATCTTTAAATTTAAAATGCTGCCTCATTTTTCTTCTGGTTGGTTTCATTTTGGCTTCACTAGAAGATGCATCTGGTACATCCACGATTGAGGAGTTTATTAATGATACTGTCGTTCAGTTCACTTACTTTTTTTCCTTTTAGAGTCCTAGCTAGCCCACAGATTACATGATCACATGTTCATTCAGTCATTCCTATAGAACACAAACCACCATGCATGATTTCTTCTTCTTTCTTTTTCCTCTCTGCCTTTTTTATTCCTTTTAAGTTGCTTTGTCATGTTTTCTTTTATCATTAAGCTTAGTCTTTGTCTTCCCCTCGCTGCTATTTGTTCTGTATTTTCCCATGCTCGGTTACTGCAATATTATTTGATTAACGGGCTGTGATGATGATGAACCTGCACACTGGAGGAGCAGCTACTACAGTGGTGATGAAGGGATGTAATAATGGTCGCTATCCTCGGAATTCTCTCTACAGTGACTGCATAATAGAAGAAAAGGCAGTGGTCCTGCAGAAAAAAGACAATGAAGGATTTGGATTTGTGCTCAGAGGGGCAAAAGGTATGTGCTTCTGTGTGTGTGTGTGTGTGATGTGCACTGGCATGAAGAAATTTATACATCTCTGAATATAAGCAGGAATTATTCTTGGTGCACTTGGTTGCTAGACAACAGGATTCTCTGTATGCTATACTACTCAGACGGATTTTAGTGGCTTCTGTCTGAAGCAGTTTGCATTTTTACATAGGAGAAGCACTGTATAATCATTTTGGGGGGAGAAAGTTTTGTCTATATTTTTATTGTGTTGGTGTATGTAATATTTTGTCATTAATGTGTTTTGTTATGCAGTTTACCTAACTGTGGGGAAACCTGCTTTCCTTATAAAACCTGCTTCTTTATTTCAAATGTCAGTCTATTGAAATAGGTCTACGAATAGAAATAGACAAGAGAGTGATGTTTTGTTTAAAATAGGTGTGGATCTTCTGCAAGGTGACATTGGTGCAGTTTTAGTATGAAAATATGATCTTTTTTTATATCTTGAGAAGCTGCACGTATGTTGCATGGCCTGTAGTGTGCTCATTTTAAAAGCTGTTCATATGTTGAGCTGCATGTTACTTTTCTGTAGACTAAAATCTATAATAATGGCATTCTTAAGAGTTAAAAAAAGCATTCTATTTAATGCTTTGCTTTTTAACTTTCAGTACAGTTTGCGCCTTTTGTATTTAAAAAAAAAAAATGATGGTATGTCCCATCTCTTGCTCCCCCTCATTTTACATGGGTTCTCCCTTGCCTTGCTTGAGCATGAAAATTATTCCATATCTTCATTCTTGGGACTTCATTTATTCTCTCCCTGTTCCTCCACCCCCAGACCAGTGCCACCGTAGATTTTCCATGTTGTAAAAGCTTTTCTAATTTTAGCTAAATAAAAAATTTTTGGAGTTGTGCTAGGAAAGCCGATAGTGCTACCTTTTAGCTAACCCCTTGGCATGAGTTGTCTGTGCATCGAGCAGAGGTTACTCCCTCTGTGCAAGCCCCACGATTGTCCCCAGATTGTCTCTGTAACAGTGAGAGCACCTCAGGTGAAAGATCCAAGGACTTTTCTGCTTGTATGTGTACGTGACGGGGAGAGAGAGGGCTGTTACAAGGCCTGCTGTGCCTCCTTTCCTAAAAAGTGATTTATTCTGTTGTCTTCTTTGTAATATACAGCGAAATCTAGAAATAAAATTCAGTTTGATCTCTTTAATCCTTCCCCACCCGCCCCATCGCCCCAATTCAGCCAGATGCTCTCTTCTGGCTACAGTACCTAATTCAGTTTTAGTTGGAGGTTGCCAGAGTTACAAGCATTTTGTTAGACACCCAAAAGGGTTACTTGAACTAATACTGAAAATCCTGGAATACTCAGAATCCAGCTCTTGCCTCATACAGCTTGATTTGGTTTGTGTCAGTAAAGCAGCATGTATTTTCCTCTCTGAATTGAAGACCTGTGGATTGCTATTGCAGAGAGATTGCACTCTGGTCCCAGCATCTTGATCTCCTCTGAGGCGGAGTCCTCTTACTTTCAGCACCCACCATTTTTTAACCATCAATTCGAATGGCCGATAATAGGCTTTTAGTTAAGTGGTATTTACAAGCACTCGGTAACTTTCTTTTTTTTGATGTGGTATTTATTTTTAAAGCTGACACACCAATTGAAGAATTCACCCCAACTCCAGCCTTTCCTGCTTTGCAGTACTTGGAATCTGTGGATGAAGGGGGAGTAGCATGGCAAGCTGGCCTGAGAACTGGAGACTTTTTGATCGAGGTAGGAGATCCTGAAATTTCATTCTCAACTGGGGAAAGAATGATGTTCCCTTTGTAGAATTTACTTCAGAAAAAGCATGTGATGCTTCTGAATAGCAAGTTTAGTGGACTAACATCAATAATGTACTTCACTTTAGCTGTTTTAAAAATCTCATGCAGCATTTAGGAAAGCAGGTAAAAAGAACGGTGTTCAGGTTGGCTGGGAATTTTCTATTTGTTCTTTTTGTTGTTTGGCAATGCACTATCAGAGAAGTTTGGGAGTTTTTCTTCTTCTTTGCATTATTGAATTGAGATTTAGTTTAATTTCAATATTTATTGTAGGCTACCAGTTCCGTGGTCTTCTAAATATTTTTACGGAGTCACCGAAATTAATGACTCTTTATGCAACTGTTTCTGCAATCAGACATATCAGTGGTCTAGTACTGTTTAGAAACCATGGAGAATAAAGCAAATTACTTTGCTTGAAATTATGTATTTCCAACAGTGCAATGTAAATACAATTATATATATATCTATAGATATAGATATAGATATGTAAAGCAATGGATGCTATTACAGTATAAATTACTTTATAAAAAGGGTGTATTTAAATACTTTCTTCATCCATACCAAAAATGTCTTCACATTTTGTATTCGCAGGATTTTTGGTTGGTATTTTAGATTTTGTTGAAATAGTTGATACTCCTTTTTAGTGTTACTGGGCAGTTTGCAACAAAATCATGATTTGGGATTTTCTTCCTTTCCCCACCCCTCCCAAACTTTTAATGACCAACAAAGCAATGCCTTGATTCTGTGAAACCAGGTGTTTGAAAACAGATCTTTCAGGATGGATCGACTAAGTCTTGTCTGTAAGATCTATTGATTTTATTTTGTTTTATTTTGTTTTATTTTATATTATTTTATTTTATTTTAAATTCTTCAGGTGCATATGTGTTTTGTTAAAGTATTTAGTGGTGCTACAACATTTCTTTCTTCAAAGCTGGCCTTTACATTCAGGAGAGGAGATAATATGCAGCTTTTATTTGTTGTGTACATTGAACTCCCGTGGTGATTGAATTTAAATAGTTGCACCTCTTCTTCACATTGTAAGAGTGAAAGAACAGGCTTTGCAGACTTCTAAAGTAAACAGATGTGCGTTTTTATCTGTGTCTTCAGAGCACATTTTTCCTTACCTAAGAATAAGCATTTAGCAAACTTTTAAACAATAGCTTACCAGTTGTGCTGATATGTGCTCTGTGCAAGGAGGAGGCTTTCAAAACTATGATTATTGACGTTAGGTGGGTTTTTCTTAAACAATGCTTTATTTTCAGAAGTTGATTTCTTGTTAGGCTTTTAATCTATAGGGAGTATGAATAGTCTGTACTGGCTGATTTCGCAGATAGATTTGATGGTGAATAATGGGTAATTTAATGGAGAGGGTTGCAGAATGATAACTACGCCTATGGATTTTTTTAAGATCTCTGAAGGGATGCGAGAAGTCTGGGTAACTGATTCTGCACAAAGCTTTACTCGTTTTCTGGCAAATGAAAGAAGAATTATAAGTAATTGTCTAGAGAATTTACTCATAGCCTTAGCTTAGAAGAGCAGTTTAACATGCACATGCATTGCTGTTCAGGACATTAATCCATACTCTAAACAGTCCAGCATATTTGTAATTAATTCTGAAGGCAGTTGTTGCATGCAAATCAAATCCATTTCTGTGTAATTTATGTTTATCGGGGTGATTCTGTTATGAATTTTGCAATATAATTAAGAGAATATGGTTAATCCTGAGAAATCACAACTTTGCTGTTGAAGACTTTTATGTTGGAGAAAGGCAGGGAGGTTTCATTCTATTTTATGAACTACATGTGCAGTGCATGGATACTCTCTAGCTATAGGAAAGCCATCTTTGAAGATATTTGCACTGGTACAAAAGATACTACTGTTGAAACATAAATGACTGGTCCACTTGCACTTCTAGGAATGCCAAGCTGTTTTATTTCTTGTTTTGAACCGAGAAGAGTTAAATGTACTATACTTTGCAGTGAGTGGTTATCATAACCACTGTAGTTAGTCTGTCTTATTGCTAAATGATTTCTCCCATGACTGTAAAGTTTATGCTGCTGTGTGTAAGTGCCACCTCAACCATTTGTAAGTAATATAATGCATTTATCATAAATGTCACATGAATAATAAAAGAGTTAATGGGCAACTAGGATCCTAATTAGTCCCATTTATAACACTTGCAGCAAATGTCAGACTTTAGGGAAGTGAGAGTCCAATTTGGCAGAGGGCAAAATGCAAGGGATGGCAGATACTTCGCTCTTGCTTGAGGAGGTTCGGTGGCTTGTGGTCATGGAGATAAGGGACACCTTTTCCCTTACTCCTCACTATGGAAAGACAGGTTTGACAGTAAGATAGATCCTTTTTTTGGAAGCATGAGAGTAGGTGAAGAGAAGACATCATTTCTTCACGTGTAATTGTGGTCTCTGGATCTTCTGAAGGGGATAAAACTTCAACAAAAGCTACTGAGCACACTAAAGTAGCTCAACATTGAAGATTATGCATGTTGAGCAGAACAAATAAAAATTCTATACAGAAAAGGTCTTTTCTTGCTTCAGCAGATAAATAAAATAGATATTAACTGGAACAGGGCTGGCACAGTTTCATTTGACTGAGTTTTTATCAAGTTTGCACTTTTTCTGAAAAGCCACGTGATAGTGATTTGTCCAACCTGTACAATTAATTTTAACATGAGACTTCAGAGATTAATGTTAAACATGCCTGTGGAAATAGTGCTCACAGATTCTTCATTGAAATTTCTGACAATATATGTTTTTCCTCCTTGCTTCAAACCCAGTTGTGGTTTTTTTGTGATAAAAATTGCAATGCGTATGGTGGCTTTTCTGGATAGAGCACAAATAAAATGTATTGGAAAAGTGAATGAGTAGTTTTAGAGCAGAAACAGTTAGAGACAGCTGTTATGTTATCCACATCATTATATTTGGATTTTCATAATTCTACAGTTGCTGATTCACGTGATTTTTCTTAGCTTCAATTAATCCTGATTTCTGAATCAGGTCCTGCACGTGGGTCGGGCAATCCCAAGCACAAGTACAGGCTGGGCGGAGAATGGATCGAGAGCAGCCCTGAGGAAAAGGACTGGGGAG